AAAAAAAAAAAAAAAAAATGAACTCACAGTAATATTTCAATTTATTATTTAATTGTTAATTTTCAATTTTGCAATCTTTCATAAAGTCACATTTTAATAGACCTCCCGAACACCGGGCGGGTGCTCTATCCACTGAGCTACGAAAACTCATGGAACAAGGTCATTTAACTGAATTCATATGTGACTGGCGCCCTGCATACTGCTAGGATCAGCACTGTTGAAGTCACCGTCAGTGTGATAAGTGAATAAAGATGGTGAATTTTTAAGCTCGGTGTTCGGGAGGCCATGGGTTCGATTCCTGTCGAGGACTCAGATTTTTTCTTTGTCCCACGCTCGTGTCATATTGATCAGTTCACGTTTCACATGTTTATTTTTTGGAAAAAGCATTTGAAAGAAACGCAATTGTCTGTCGTTTGGTCTTCCCCTTTCGGTTCACCAACGAAACAATCTGAAAACTATTGTTTCACGATCCCTACGGGTCAGAGGGACGGTATGAAGGTAGTAAGATGCTTGTGAACATGTCGCATCAAGGTGTATCGGATAAATCTTGCTAGCTCGCTTGACGAAGAATACTAAATATCCTCTTTTGAGAGTTTCGAAACACCCCCTCAGCCGGCAGCGACCATTCCTAGCTTTGACTAGCTTCAGGTCTTGAGTTTTGCCTTCTGATTCTCTGTCGATATTTTCTTTTTTTTCTACTTTTAGGTAGTACCCTCCTTCTACAGCCAGTTCAAGCTCACGTTTGAAGAATCAACTTGATGGATTTAAGCTTGCGGACTCCTTGCGCTGCTTGACTACTGTCAGGATTTCAGAACATTGGTATGTACGCAGCTCGGACCTATCTTCTTCCCCAGTCTTTAGCATGTGCGTGGATTGCGTGGATGCACAGCGCTTGGGCCACTTGACGGAAACAGGACATTATGGTGAGTGTTTGCCGGTGTTTTGTGAGTGTTTTACGGTAATTTCACAGTCGTTGTGACTTAAATAAACATCCTAAAATCTGTGATTTTGATTAAAAATGTACATGTACTATGTAGCGCTAAGTAATAAATTAAAATTAGCACAAGGCCTATTGGGTTTTAATACAGTAGGTCTTCTCCCATCTCTTAGGCTTACATTTTTTACGATAATTTATTAGAGAAGGGATGTTTTCAAGCTTACTATAGGCGGTGTTTATTGAGTACCATGGCACAATCAGTACAAAGCTTATTATTTTAAATGGTAACGTCTGGTTCAATGATTATTGAAGCTATACCACCCCCTTCCACTCCCCCTCCCCCTCTGGGGATTTTCTTGCTTGATGTTCTATGCACACGGAAAGAGAGAATTTCCCACCTTGAGAATTTTTAGAACAACTTGAAAATATTTATCCTGGTATTGAAATAACACCTGAACTTTTAGAAAACAAAAATGGTTTGGAACAGAGCAAATAAACTCCCAGCAAAAATACACTTCCTCAAAAGTTGATCATGCAGGTGAACAGTGGTGTCTTTTTTATCTTTCAATAAAAATGTAAAAAATATTTGCTTGCCTACAGGAAGATCAAAATGTTTAACTCTCAGTATATTTTGCAAACATTATAATGCAAAAATGTTTGAAACAAACAAATGAATTCCATTGAAACAAACATAATTTCCTTTTGAAGGTAAGCTTAAACATGCTCCCTTAAATACTGTTAGAGATTTGGTCAGCACAAAATGCAGACTGCAGACTGCAGACTAGGTATAAAATGTAGACTAGGTAAAAAGCGTAGACTGAGAAGAAAGACTGTTTTTTCATCAAATAATGATAACCTGTCATTGTATAACTTACCAATTAAGTGCCATGCAACACTTTTCTGTCGTCATCTTTGACCAAAATTTACATTATTAATTTATTGGGTATTATTCATGGCCCATTTCTGTGTTCTTATTTTTATACTAAAATCGGGCATGCACAGTGTGAAGGCTCTGTCAAGGCTTTAAATTCTATTCAAGAAAGAATATGGCCAAGAGTAATCCCCAACCTGGCAGATGACCGCAGAAAACACTTGCCTAGTAATCTATAAAATGACATGCTACAGCATGTTATTGCTTATTACACGAAAACAACAGTATTTAGTCTTAGTCTGCATTTTGTACCTAGTCTGCTGTCTGCATTTTGTAGTAACTGGTTCAAAGTGATTCCAACACTTAGTTATTTTCGTGTTGTATTTGTTCTGGGGTTGGAAAGAACAAGAACTGACCCACACATAATCTAAGATAAGAACTCATGCTAAACTGGATGTCCCTGAATAAATATTGATTGAAATAAAATAAAGACCACACCTTTTATTGTCTAACGGATCTGTAAAGTTGAATCCTAACGTGTGTTTGATGTTAATCGTTTTAAATTTAAGAGTGCTGACCTTGAAATCTGTGACATTGACCCTGTGGTTAGAGAGAAAGGAAAAGCATTTCGCTTTCGGAAGACCCAGACAACAACCACAGCTGCTATAGTTTGTAAGTGTAAATGAACTAGTGAAATACACGAATTTTGTGCAAGTACCACTAGATTTTTCTCTTTACACAGTATGTCTAATAACATCGTTACCACCCATTTAAAGTGAATGTCAGTAAAAATCAAAGAAATTTTCTAAAAATGTGGCCACAGTTGAAAAATCGCTTTTGTTCATACCTTGCCAGTTTGAAGGTAAGTAACTGGAGGAAATCAAGTTTGTTTTTTGAAATATTCAATATAACGGCAGAAATTCACGAAAAATGGTCATTGCACCGAAGGCTCAGGTTTCACTGCCTGATAATCCAAAATTTTAGACTTTTCAACTTATTGCTACGCAGATGTTTACATCACTGTGAAACATCCTCAACTTTAAATGTATGCATTGATTCTTCCTTAATCAAGATATAGTGATTATTTTCTTTTCTTGGGTTTTCTGAGCAAACTGAGCCCTGATTAAGTAAACAATGTACCCAATGGAACCAAGCAGTTTTAGCTTGTTCTGATGCAATCAGCAATGAATAGTTGGAAAAACTTGAAGGATGAAATTTTTTTACTGATTATGGTTGACCAAAACACTGAAAAATGCAAACCACATTTTCTGGATAATACTGTCTAGTCCCTCAATTCAAAATTGAACTGACCAAAACCCCAACATCACCGTAGGTTCAATGTGAAGTTTGGTATTTATTATTAGGTAATTAAAACATTATTTTGTTTACAAGGTTCTGTTTCTAGTTCTTGAAGTTTTTCCTTGTCACTGACAATAATGTACTTTTTTTTGTTATTCACCCTTATTTAGTGAAGATCGACATGGAGAAATTGCTTATAGTTTTAGATGAGGAATATGAGGTAGGTTTCTGTAAGTGATCAACACAATTTCTGCTTAGAGCAACAGTACACTGTCAACCTTAGTAATTTTGGTAAAAAAAGGTTGTCTGCGTACCAGCCAAGTGGGCCATTGGGCCGGAGCTTTTATTACCCCGGTTTCTGTAGTATGACACGACTAGGAGTATTTCTGCTCCCTCCAGGATAGGATGCTGGTCCATTGCAGCCAGTTACCCCCAGCATTAAGTTCGTGGGTACCCATTTATACACTTGGGTGGAGAGAGGCACTGTGAGAGTAAAGCGCTGTCTTGCCAAAGAACACAATGTAATGTCCCTGGCCAGGGGTTGAACCCAGACCTCTCTATCTGGAGGCAAGGGGACTAACCATGACGCCACGGTACCTACCCTGATTTTTTTTGGCCACGCACAAAATTACCTTCAATTACCTTCAAAGCCTGTCTGCTTGTGTTCCCACAACATTTCTCTTTCTCCCACACTTCCACTCGTGTTTCTATCACTTGATATATCTAGTAGTAACAAGGAGAACATGTTTCTATATCTTTTAGAAAATTCCGTGACGAAAAAAAGAAAACAAATCTTGTTTACTTTGATCATCAAAATGTAAATTCTCTTTGCTTGTGCCATCAATACGTCAATGTTCAGGTTGTACTAGTTCTGTGTTTCTATCGAGTTTAAGTATAATGCTACGTCTAGCGTTCTATCACGAATGCTGTTCTCTGATTGGCTATGCTACTCACTTTCTATTCTGTTGTAGATAGTGAGTAGCGTACCAGTGTGCGCTCGTTAACAAAATGATGGCTTCTTGGCATTTTCGAGCTGTCTGTGAGGAGGATTTATATGAATAATGTTGAACAACTAGTAGATTTATACTAAATCAATTAGATTACTCGCTCTCAATTTCTATACATTATAGTTGACTCGGGCTGCACCCTCTTTAGCTATCATGCAATAGAAATCTCAAGCTCATAGTCTCATTATTGTTTAATAAAAACATGATTTTAAACCAATCAGCGCACATATTTTCTTTGGTCTGTTTTGTAATAATATTAAATATGCATACTTTTGCGAAGTCTTTGGTCTCCATAGAATTAATGGGGGCTCCTTTATATATCTTTTTCAGGATATTTCTATCGATGATCTTAGAGAGGAACTACCTGCACATCAGCCACGGTATCCTTTCATTGAATAACTAATATCAAGATTTAGCCAAGGCTAAAAGTGGAACTCCCATAAAATACTGTCTACAGTAATCATTAACATGAAACAATAACCTTTAAAGAAATTCACCAAATGGTATTTCACTACACTAAGTGAATTGAACAAACAAATTGAGGACGTTTTCGCAAACACAAACAATATTACATTAGCAACTGAAATAAATATTTCAAAGAGGTGTGGTTTTGCATTCAGTGTGTTCAAGTTAATTATTCTAAGTTGCGAGCAGTCTCACTTTTGCTCAAAAATCTGTGGGGAAGAATGCAAAGAAGAGTGCAGCAAGTGAGTGGTGGGTCATGAGCATGTGAGCGTGATATGTGAAGCCGCAAGCTGCAAGTGGCTTGGGCATCGGAAGAAGAGCAAAAAAGAGACTGCAATTTATGGTCTCATACAACATTTTGAATGCCTGTCACTGTGGTGATGGAGTAATTCTATTGGTTTGTGCTACAAAGTTATGAAGCACATCTGTCAGTAACCTTTATAGGTGACATGCAATGCATTCTTGGAAAGTTTGTCTCCTACTGTTCGACTCCTATGGTTTGTGACCTTTGCACATTTGCTGTAGTCTTTTGAATTTTGATCTCTCAACAATTTATTAGTTTTATGCTTCATGCTTGTTTACTGTGGTATTAAGAGGATTTAAAGTAGATTAATTGTCGGCTGATAGGAATTTCAGTTTTTCACCTTGAGCAGTACAAGCTTCATTAGTGTTGAACCATTCATCAGATCTTACCAAATATAGTTTCGATCAACTTGCAGAAAATGTTAGACACTGGAGTGTCATATTCAAAAATGGGCAGAGGTGTCATTGATGCGAGCTGTCAGAGTAGTATCCAAAATGTTGTATGAAACCATTGCAGTCTCTCTTTTCGCTCGTCTTTCGATGCCCACATTACTTGTCTTGATTTAAATCATTCACTTATTAAGTAGCACTTAAATTCCACAAGTAATTCAGTAGCGTGACTGCTAGGTGTGTGTTAAGTTCTGAAGCTTTAATGAACACAACAAGTGCAATGCTACATNCAAACTTAGGGTGGGCCGGAACATTTGAAAATGTGGTGGTTGGAAAACACATGACCCATCCCTTCCATTTGACACAAAATTGAGTGACCTTCCCCTGAAAGAAGGTTGAATATTACATGTCCCACCCCCTATAAAACAATACATTTTTGGTTGCATAATCCAACAAAATCACATTCTGTGTATGAAATTGTGGCATTATTTAATTTTTAGATTTAATTCTTAACAAGAATATAAAACATCTTAAAGTAATATTGTTTTCCTTTACTCTTGCAACTTTAAGTCATGTTCATAAACTCTAAAAAAGAAACGACCTTAATTCTTTTACGCTTGGGCTCCAGCCTCGCTATCCTTTGAACAGTGATCCATCTAGAAAAAGGCTGCAGCGAGTCCTGGGACTCACACAGCCAAATTCCCGATATCCATTTTTTTTTTTTACATTTTCGTACAGAATACGTCTTTACTAGTTATCTTGCGAAACTTCAATCTATTACGAACATTAGAACTCGCGCTTTTGGATCTTTATTTCCGAGAATTTACAGCCGCCATTAGTTTTCCTTGTTCAAAGTCTTGGTTGAGAATTGGAGAAAATGACGTCATTTTCTCAAAAATACCACACGGGTTGAAATCATAATAACAATTAGTACAGCAATTCGCTTAAAGGATAACAAATATAATTAATCTTTGGCTCTTATATTTGTGCAATTTTCTACACCAATTGTTATTATAATTTCAACCCGGCGCGTTATTAATGTTATAACATTGATGATGTTCTGAACAGACAAAAGAACAGATCGTCTGAACCCACTGTTTTAAAGAGAGAGGCCATCTTAGTCTTGCCTTTTTTAGGTTTACAAAGCGAAGCTCCTACGCGACGTGTTTAATCTTGTATCAGTAAGTTTTATAAATTTGTCAATCTTAGGGTCTTTCTTTCCATACAGAGATCGGTTCAGTCGCTCCCAAAGATCTGAAGCTAGTGCTGTTGTTGGGATGGTGATTCCTTAATTTTATGTCGGCAAAACCAAACGATGTTTGCATGACAGGAACACCGAGCATTTCAAAGCTCTTACACAAGATGGTCACGCCTCCGCTGTTGCAGACCATGTCATCTGTATCGGTCACAACATCAAATGGGACCATTTTGAAATCCTCGTAACTGGAAAGTCCGACTTGCATTGTAAAATTAAAGAAACGATATTGATCAGTGACTTAAACCCCTCATTTAAAGAAAACGTTGGCAGCGAGAAGCTGCTCTTTAGTAATTTTTACCGGAAGTATCAATTCTATTATTAATTTTTTTAGCTTGCCACCAGTGCCTCGCTTTAGTTTTGAATTTATAACTTTTTGTTATAGTAATAACCGACACTTGTGAAGATGTATATTGCAACAAACGAAACGTCAAGTTAAAACAGTTAAGTTTTTTGTACCATGCGTTGTTTGTTTGTAATGTTTGTAACCGCTGTTTGTAACCGCTGTTTGTAACCGCTGTTTGTAACCGCTGTTTGTTTTCTTTTCTTTCTGAAACTGAAATGGCCAAAGAACAAAAGACCTATGAGGGGATTCATGCTGACGTCATTGTTTACATTTTTGCTCGTTTCCATACGGCTTTGCGTACAGAAGGAAACATGTTAAATATGAATTGACTCCAAGCAGCTAAAGAGCTAGTATAATTTAGTACATGGTGAAATTTTTAGCTCTTGGGTGTAATATTCAATGAGTTTTTGTTTTTCAAATACGGCAAAATTTCTGGGTGGCAACAGCGCTAATGAGCTCATACATTCTTTGTAACATTTTGAGTTTTTAAACGCGTGTTGCACAAAAACGTTCAATACATGTTGGCAGAGTCAATCGTACTGTGACCTTTCAATATTCAGAACTGATTTATTTGTAGTTCCATCAGAAACTGAATTGCGTATGCTAATAAGGCAAATATTGTAAACAAAAATTCCCCTATTGTGTACGAAAATGTACAAAAAATGTATCTCGATCGAGATTTTTTGATCATGGGGGCTCTTGAAGAACTCGCCATTCTGGCTTTGGCTTGAGGCCGTGAAAGGCGAAAGTGCAGACGTCCCAAAACTGTAATAGGAACAAGAATGTCCATTCACAACGGTTCAGGGAAAGAATGTGACTAGCTTTTCTAAACGTTCTCAGGAGCTGAGTCGTAATTCCTTCTCATGCATGTATGTACGAAGACGAAGACGACGACGACGACGATGATGATGATGATGATCCAGAGCGAGGAGAGTCATTATCTTAATTTCATAAGATAATTTCAAAGCACTGCCAAATTCTTAAGCAAAGTATAATGCATGAATTTTTACCAGTATCCGTTGCATTTCCTTCTCTCGGAGAGCTCTGTCTTTCCTTTCCTGGAACAACTTTTCGTTGTAATCCTTAAGTTGCTTCAAGTGCGCCTTGTGTTTCTCCATTTCTGACTGCAGCTCCTGCAGTGCATAAAATGTGACTATTTATTCAAAGTACAATTTCACGTTTCTGTCGTAGCAATAGTTTGATGGGATTTTTTTTCGTGTTTTTCAATTGAATCTCCTCTAGATAAGAGCTAATCTAAACTCCATGTTTTGCACGGTTTGTGTCCAAACTCAAATACAGTTCAGTGAAAAATTAATCTTCATGAAATGTTTAATTAAATTAAGCTTAGATCAATCCGTCGTGTAGAGTTTTCAATTTTTACGTCCATACTCACGTACCGGCTGGAACTTGTAAAACTCTTGGGCACAAACATCTCTGGCTCCCCTTGCTAGCTTCTTAAAATCACGCTCAATGGCCAAGAAGCTACCTTCTATTTGATCAAAACTGACTGCAGCTCCGTTTGGTCCAGTCAGCCGCTGGAGAATGGGATCCAAATGCTTTTTTCTGAGGTCCTGCAGCAGTTCCTGACAGCCTTCCTTAGTACGTCGTTGGTTCTTCTCATGCCATCGTTTCAAATCGTTTTCCATGTGTTCCTGAAGATAGGAAGAACGTTTTACTCGTTTTGTAGCTTTGGTGACCAGCACTTGGTTCTTCACCACTGAGAAATTTTACAAAGAGCGTCTACGATCAGCTATATGCGGCCATTCTCTGTGCATTCATGATGCAAGATGTTTGTTTTTAATTCGTAACCACCATCAAATTTCCCTCGTGCTTTCTGTTCAAGTTTAATTTGAAAGAGGAACTCTCGAAATCTCTTCCATTAGACTCGGAACAATAGTTAACTATCTCAAAAGCGAATTGTTTTTAATAAACTCACAGTGCTAAAAAAAATAAATCCGTCGTATGGATCTGATGTTTAATTAAGCCTACTCCGGGAACAGAAATTTGGTCCAATTGATATTCTGTGTAATTTAAACCGCTCTATAGCAGTAGCATTAAAAATGCATTTCTAACCGTCTTAGAAGGCTAAAATACAACATTTTCCCCACGGGGCGGAGGTGGACGGGGAGCAGAATTTACAATGAAAAACCTAAAAATACATTCAAATGCCACCAGCATTACAATCGATTCCGAACACATAGTCAAAATATTCCGTCTATGATTTATTTTTATAATATTCATCTTAGTTGTTTACCATGAGTTCTTCCAAGTAGTTTTTACAACTTGCAGCAGAGATTTGGACAGTGCCTGTTTCAAATTCCCTCATGCTTTCCTCCATTGCCATCTCATGAACACGGCGAATCTCCTCACTGTCACATGGTAAGGCACCATCCAGCTGGGACGTCATTGTACCTTCATACAACTTTATGGCAGCTGCTTTTACCTTAGAACACTTTGTCTGAATATACGTCTCCCATGTACTTTGGACATTAGGGACAGCACCGGGAGTGTTCAGGGCCGCGACGTAGTCGCTGACTAGAGCGGCAAGGGCTTAAAAATGCAAGAACAAAAAGAAACAGATAAGTGCTGTTATGTCAATTACAGTCTTGTTTGTCTCTGCCTGCGTGCCTTTCCAGCTATGACTGATACTTGGGTTCAACATCAAAATAGGAAATTTTAGTCGTAACGAAACTATTGTAGATTTATGAAGGTTTTAAGAGAAGAATTAAGGCAAAACCACCTAACAGAGGGAAAGAAGTCTTTACCTTCTCCAGTGACGAATTCCCCATCATTGAAACTGCGTTTGGGACACAAAATTGTATCTAACTTGACCTTCAACTGCTCTAAACCTCTCAAAAACGGAGGACTGAGCTGGCTTTTTTTCTGGTTTATGTTCTCCAAAAGTTCTTTATTAACTGTAGGAGGAGGTAAATCGAACGCGGCAAAAACAGGGAAAAAGTCCAGAATGCTGGCGACTACAGTTGTCTCTTGGTCTGTGGATGATGAAACTTTTTCTTGAAAAACCTGAAACAAAATAACATTTGAGGTCACTCAAGCAATGTGAAACCACTATCACACAAAATGAAGCAGCTTAAAACTATAGCTACCCTCTGTGGCATTTACGTAGCTCGTTTTTTTTTTTTAATGGAATTTTAAGAGTTGGCCTACCTTCTAGCGGAATTTTACTTCTACATGATAGGGTGAACTTTTTACTTCATATGCGACCCATACAAGGACCACATGATACGTACCGCTGATTGAACTCGGTCGATCACAAGAGAATGAATGATAATTCTAGAATATTCATTGCTGGTATCAAAACTAAAACTATCAGCTACTGCTGGGTTTTAGATTACAAGTTACTTTACGCAACCCAAGTAACCATATTGAATGAAATCAATGTAGTCTGTGGGGAAACTCGTGAGTGGAACAGATGAACTAAAAGATTTATGCAATAGTAATTTTGTTTATTAGTTTCATACTTTGAGTTTGAGTTTGAGTAGTGGTTGTTTACCAAACACCAGAATCAGTTGAATAAGACTGGGCATACGTGATAATTGAACTGATTATGTCATTGCATTAGACGTAACGATACTGGAACCTGATTCTGTTGAATCATTTCACCCCCTTTATTGTATACCTAACGGTCTTTAAATTTGGAGCACTTGTTCGATTTCAAACACGTTAGGTCAGTTCCTCGTTTTGGCATCCACTTTGTTGGAAAAAGTGAATAATAAGACTTTTTCTATTAGACTAAGTTCTTTATTATGCACTTTAAAGCACTTTAAACCACTCCATCTAGTATCGGCCCCCCTCTGGGTCTAACAGAACCACCAGGTAAAGATGCATTTCAAATTATTACCTTTCTTAAAAAGTAGTCCCTGATATCCTCATATTCCTTTGGAATGGAAAGCGTCACATCTCTCAGGAGCCAAAAGAAGCAAGGAAATGTTTTACGAAAATACGCAGAGTCCTTATAAGTGCTTGAGGATTCGGGGTGTGATCGTATCTGAATTTGCTGCGAGAGGTTAACAATGAATCTATACATAGTTAGGGAAAATATTTAAAGATACTGTGCTGGTGTTTTATAAATTATAAGGTTCTTTTAAAGGAGCCATGTCACAGTCTCGCATCTTCAAAAGTTTAGCCCAAATTTTTCCTCGTTTGTAATTCGTGTTATTCTTCTCCATGCTCAACCATCCTTGCTTCTTTGTGGTTTATTATTTTATTATCTCTTTGGTGTTTTTCTATCTTAGTAAATTACTATTTCCAGGTTCCCTTCAGTTTATTAAAGGTAGTTTTGCACATGGCCAAAATAAATCAAAATTCCGTGACTCACCTCCTTTAAGATCTCATTGTAACTAACTGAAATGCAATTGTCATTCATGTTTTGTATAGCTCCTACTCAAAAAAATTGTCAGAAAATGGATGGAAAGATTTTTCACCGCCATACATTCAAAGGTAGTCAACTTGGAAATGTACTAAACATCCCCCAAAATTAGTTCAGCGGAGTAGTGGTGCACCTTTTCACGCCAACATGCATTATTTTGGAATGTTTTCTCCCAGATGCTGTTGTCAGAATCATAAACTGTTTGCCGGAGAAATTTCACAGCTGTCCGAAACTGGGAGTGAGGGAGGGGCTGCCCCCTTCCCCCCCCCCCCCCCCCCCCCAGCCCATATGCCTATGCTTGCTCTTATGTAACATTTCACTTTGATTTGGTTTAAATTTTGTGGCTGTATGATTGATGTTGACCACTATACCTACGGTGACAACGTAGCCCAAATTTTTTGGAATCGATAGGTTATCAGGTTTTCTTACCTGTGGTGCTCTGCGGGCATAGCTTCACCATTCAAAGCTCAGCTGTAATAAATTGAAAGGGTGCTTGGAAAAAAGCCCTAAGTGACTCTTGATCTCATGCCAACTTCTCCTTTTCTGTACAGGGAAGTGAACAGCAATTTGCTAGGAGAATCTTGCAGTATATCAGATATCACTTAGGGTCTTTTTTCATGCACCCCTTCAATTGTAATGTTTTCCTTAATTGGATATTGAAGCTATGTGTTGTACAGTTATGTCCAAAAACATGATGATGGAAGAGTATCATGTCCTCTCATTTTTATTTTCATCTCTCCTCAAGGTAAGTGTAATGTGTATAAATATTATGAATTGTAAAGCTCTAGTATTGATTTAGCATACTGTAAATCCTCAAATAAGCGCCCTGGGCACTGATTTCAAATTTAGGAGAAGAAAGGGGGCACTTAATCGAGGGGGGCACTTAATTGAGGGGGGTGCTTATTTAATTTTTCCCAAATTGTGCACTGACATGATCACTTTTTAAATACATCATCTCCATGCAAACAACAACACTAAGTTTAAATCACAGCACCATTAGAAATTCATGTGGTCACAAACTGAAACAATACACAAATCTAATACTACGAAATGAAAACTATACATCCTTTGTTGTCTCATTACTCGTCCACAAAATAGGGGGAGTGGAGGGGGGTGCTTATTCGAGGGGGAGTGCTTATTTTAAATTTTGGCCGATAGGAGGGCGCTTATTTGAAGGGGGCGCTTATTCAAGGGGGGTGCTAATTCGAAGATTTACAGTATGTAAATAGTGCTATAAAAATTATTAAATTATTATTATTAATTGTTATTATTTTATCAGGTCAATATGGTAGACAAGTTCCTCTTTCATGCCACCTTACAGAATTTAGTATAAATTGACAGGTTAAATACAGACAGATTTTTGTCAATTATTGATCTATTTATAAAACCAAGGTGTGCTCAGTCTCAAGAAGCAGTAAATTGTGAGCACTATTATACATAAAAGTATGTCACGGACAAGATTGGAACCTCATGTGCACTCGGGATAGCCCACTTGTAAGGAGACCTAACCCCATGTAATAAATTGTTTATTGACCAAGCTTTTGTGGTCAAGATGCCTGGATATTGGCCTCTAACCTTTTTTTTAAAGTGCTCTAGTAGCTTACCTTGACTGCATCTCAGTGTAGATGCATGCAAACAGAGGTCTTGGCCAATATCTAGCCATCTTAATTCTTACTGGTTGTTTCATGCTACACAAACTGGAGGTAAGAGCCCATTCACACCAGCTAAACTGGTTGAACTAAATCAAGTAAATGTTTTTTGAATCTTCCAATTATGCTTTACAGTCAATTTCAAACCACTGTGCTAACATATTTCAATCAAACGGGTTTTTACGTAATTTTTTAAGTTGTAGGGTACTCATGGTATGAGCAACTAATTTTTAACCTTGTTTAGTTAAACCACTTTTAAACATTTTTAACATGTTGGTGTGAACGGTGTGTTTTAGTGATGGCACTGATGTTATATATCTGACCTCTCTTATCCAGTTGGTGGGAGCAGCTTTTTTAGCTTAGATTGTAATAACCAGTGAAAATGGTCTTTTTTCATTAACAGGTTGCAAACCAGAACTGCAAATGACATACTCTGGTTCCAAGAATTCCCTTGTTAAAGAACTTCAGATACCCAAGGTATAATAATTTTTTTCTCCCGTGATAATAATAATTATTCTTATTTTTCACATGCGAACCAACTTGACCTGTTGTTGACAGTGTCAACAGAAGCCTGTTTCATTGCTAGAACTTGAATAG